TCCCGCCCCCTCCCCGGGGACTCGAGGACACGGACGGTTACCAGAGGCGCGAGGCGCTGCGGATAATGGCCGCAGGTCAGTCACTCAGTCTCCGAGAGATAGAAATAGAAAGAGAAAGAGATGCTCTTGTTCTCATGCATTTGACGCATGTTAGGGATGGGAAGCCTCCTAGTGGCTTCCATTGCACTTCCTCTCCTCTCCGTCTCTCAAGATGTCTTTTTTTTTTAATTCCTTTCACCCCCCAACGAATGTATAAACTGACCCCCTTTTGCAATCCACAATCTGCAAACATCGAGAGGCTTGCTGTCTCCTTTTCTTTTTGAAAGAGACTTGTGTGTCGAATTAACCAACCGGGAGGCTATCAGAGACTCGACCCATTCCTTGCCCTGTGTGGTTTTATTTTCTGAACCCGTTTTAAAAATGCCAAACGTATTCCCCTGCCCCCACTCTCTTTTTAAAAGTGAAAATTCTCAATCCTCGCTTCCCTCTCCCACCCAAAAACAAAACAGCCCAATGCAAAATTTTCTATTGGAGCCAGCCTCTGCACCTTTTTAAAAAAATGCCACTAAAAGAGGAAGCCTACACAAGGTTTGCAGTCAATGAAGACTGGAGAGTATAATGTTTATTGAAATTCTCTCTCTACAGGAATGTGTTGTAAGAATTTGAGGGCATCATGCAATTGAAATAAAATCGTGAGTGTAAAGCAGTGGTAAGATGTGGGTTCATACGCTCTTTCCCCACACAAGTGGGTTTCTAACCCAGGGGTGGACACAAACCAATTGAGATGCTGTCTAGTGCATCTACAAGCAGCTGGTTATAGAGTGGTGGTGAAGGTCCAGCGTCCTCCTTCAGTATTACTGGGGTGCAGATGTTTTAAAATGGGATGGAAAAGTGATATGGGCAAGCAAAAATAATTATTGCGTATGGGCATAGTGCCTCTGTAAGTTGGTGTTCCAACATGTAGTGCTACTAAAAGCATGCACGCTTTGTGCGGGTCTACAGATTTCTTTTCTCCACCTTCAGCTTTTGTACAAGCCATATAATCTGCCAAAATTTGCTTTGCTTCCCACTCTTTACCAGTCCTGCCTGTGTCCTTGTGCAATGCAACCAGAGCAGCAAATTTGGGAAATACTTGACAGATCATGCAACATCTATGAAGAGCAAAACATAGTTAATGCGTGCAATTTTATGGGACAACTGCAGGCAAGCAAATGGGTGGAACTGCGAATCAGGGCATGTGCTCACGCTAGTCCGCCTAACTCACTCCTGCCAAGACTTTACTGATGTCAAGGGAAAGGTTGGATGGGTTGCATGTCCATGGTCCAGTTGAGACCCTTAAGTGGGCAATTAATGCCCAACTAAAGGTCTCATTCAGCCACTGTTCCGTTACAATGCACAGGGGGGCAAAGCCTGAACTGACCCTGCAGCCTGGCAGTTTTAATCCTGCAGACTGCTGGTCACTCAAGGAGTGGGAGTGGCCTTTCTGGACACCTAGTCAGTTGAAGGAAATCCTGCCACACCTTTGCCTCTCTGTGTCCACTGCAACCCTCTTGTCCAACATGAACCCCCGTCCCTTCGTTGTGGCCTGTCAGCCTGGCCCCAGTGAGATCTCAGATTTAACTGAATGTCTGGGTCCATTGCTGAATGCCACCTCTTTGGCCTGGCAGCAGCTACCACTCCTGCTTGGTGCTGCTGGTGTGCAGAGCTGCTGGCCTTCAATTAGAAGAGTTTGCTAACTGAGGTGGCTTTCCCGCAAAATTTACGCTTGGGTTCACGGAGCCAGTCCTCAGCACAAAATAAAGTTGAATGTTTCAGGTCAGTGATCTTTTGGCAGAACTGGAGAAAGTTATAGAGATTTGGTATGTTTTTAAAAAAGTAAAACTCACTGTATCTCTGATGTTTCCCAGTTCTGAAAAAAAGATAATTGAACTGAAATGTTAACTCTGTTTCTCTCTCCGCAGATGCTGCCTAACATGTTGAGTATTTCCAACAATTGCTGTTTATATTTCAGATTTTCAGCATCCTTGGTACATTGTTTTTGGTTTTGTACATTGCATTCCATTTCCTAGGTTAGTATTGTCAAGATTCAGTAATGCTCCTTCGATTAAAGGAAAGAGGGATGGCAATTGTGTCTCCACTGTACATGCATCAACTATGATGGGACACTGGTGTTAATAAAACCCTCTCGTATGTGCTCTAGAGACCAAAGCGATCCTATTTTCTGACAATATTGTAAGCAGGGCTGAATTCTGACAATGGTAGTTCAAGGCACATGCAGAAGTGTAGGGAAATGGAATGGATAATGTATGCTTGGAATTGGATAATTTGTGTTATTATCAGAGGCAGAGAAAAGTAGGGAGAGTGTGTTTGTGCTCAGAGGGTAGGAGATGGAAACCAAGGAGGATAGATGCATGGAACTGGGTGAAGAATAGAAAATTCAGAGGCAGAAGATAAAGATTCAGAGTACTTCCAACAATGGGAAGCCATGTAATCAGTTTGGCAGGTGATGGAAGAGTGCAGTCATGCAATTGGTTGATACTTTGGGCCCAAAGGGAAATGGAGATGATGTGTGAATAAATGGAAATGCAAAGGCAGAAATCAGGCTAAAGGTATTGAAAAAGAATTCTGGTAGAAACTGATGGAATTAAATTGTGTATGGACTAATTAGTTTGGAGTCATCTATATGTCCACATATTGGAGGAAATGTGCATGCACAGTTGTTGAGAGAAATTAGTAGGTGCACTTGAAAGTCCAGCTGCTTCTGTAGTAGTGGCTGAAAGAACCTAATCCAAGTACAATTAATATCTTTTTGTAACAAAAAAAAAAGGTGGTTACCAAAAGGCGAGGAGTGCTCATGATTCAAAGACATCTGGTAATGAGGTTAAGGAGACCACAGTAAACAGGGAGAGAGAATTGGAGCTGAAGGGAGAACACCTGGGGGAGCAAAGAGGAGCGAGGCTTGTAATAAGTACCATGGCAGAAAAGGGGACCAGGATCCTGAGGGAGCACAGAAGGAATGAGAAAATGGATGTGTGAACTATGCTGAGGATGTGGGATGGAACAATGAGTTTCCCATGTTGATAAATGGGACAATGAAATGTTGATGCAAAGAGAGGGTAAAGTTAACAGTGCAGAAATGGAGCCCATGACTGAGGATGGACATAATGAGTTTGCTACAGAGATGGATGGGGGTCTGGCTTCTGGCGAAGCAAAAGTATATGGATGCTGATGTGTGGAGGACGGTAATGACTTTTGACGTATGAGATTGTGGAAATAAATAGTTCTCTTGAATTCTGATTGGAATGTACTCTGAAGAGAACTGGATAAGGGAATACCTGGATCTCCCAAGCCAGTATGAATGGCAAGCAACACCATGTGACATGGATATGGAGCTGGAGGAAAGTTTGAGATAATAAACAGTTGCAAAAATGAAGGGCATACACAAACGTGTTGTACAAGAGAAATGGATAGAAGTTAGGGCAGAAGGTGATGAATGGGAGGCATTTGTACTGGGGATGAAGGCAGGCTCCTGAGATGAGATTGGGAAGCATTGTTGATGAATTGAGCTGAGTCAGCATTGCTGGATTGGTGTTGTAATTCATCACAGGGTGGATGATTGAAAATATCTCCAGAAAGGGAAGTTTGATATCCTGGGTTGAAAAACACAACCTGTTTATGGAAGAATGCCTGTCAAGAAGCTAAATTATTTGCTTTTTTTTTTGGGGGGAAAAAAAAGTGGTGGATTTTGTGGTCACAAAGGCTGGAGTGTCTGCTAGGAAAGAATGTGCAGAATTTCAATTCTGTGAAATTATTTTGCATTTTCTACCACAGTAGTTTTAACATTTCCGTTGCCTACTCCAGGTATCTTTGTGGTTTCTAAATAGCAATTTAATGCTGATTATAAAGGGAAGTTTTGCAAATTAGGATTAGATTAAGGCTGCCCAAACCTATTTTATTAGTCTGGGCTGAGATTGATTTCTGAAATATAGAATTGATGGAAGTGTGTTGTCAATATCACCACCTGGTTCCTAGGCAGTTACATTTTATGCTAAAAGCTGCACAATATTCGTGATACAGGTCAGTTGTGTGCCATTGATTTCTATGTGTCATATTCTGTATTGGATGTGCTGTTAGAATGTATTTTGCACGTGCATTGAGCCATTTTGGTGATTCATATAATTCAATTCATGAAGCTTTGATTAAAAGTTAGTATCTTTACTCCATGCTGTGTGTCTCATATCCAGTCATGGAAGACAAAATAATGCATTGCATTGGAGTAAATTACAGTTGCAATTTTGAATAATGGTTGTTTTCATATTTTCTTTAGTTTCAAAGAAGGGTGGGTATGGTTGGTGCAGCTACATTACTGTGAAAAGACTGGTTTGTAAGGATTTACTGATGCATTAGTTTTAATGTTTGATTGATCTGACTGGCATATTTTCAGAGCTGAATACATTTCTAATAACCCAATGTAAGTAAATGCTGTGTGACAAGTGTTTTTTTTCTGTGTGTGTATATTAGGTGGAATAACAGCAGGGTACAGCCGGAGACAGCTGTAACAACAACAGATGACACTCAAATTTGACCTGATGGTTTGTTTAGAGCACTTGAAAGGTCTGGAGAAATTTTTGCTGGAGTACCAACTGGTAAGCCAGAGCTCTTCCATGGCCTCTGTGTGCTCGTAACAACGCAGGTTCAATAAGTAATGCTTAACTGATTGAATTTCTGCGCACGAGACAGACATCAAGGTGACGGCGCTGTTTGGGAGAGAGGTCCACAAATAAGAGCAGGAATGTGTGAAGCTTTGCTGCTGGTATTCCATGTCAACTGTTTGGAATAATACAGGATGTTGAAGTGCAACTGCATCAGCTCTTGTGTTCCTGGCATAAACATGGAGGCCTAGCTAAAGCGGAAACAACCCCTGCAATACTGCTGCAGTCATGATATTGAAGAAGACTGTCAGAATGACAATATTTCACAGATGTTACAAAGGATGGAGTATGCCAACTTAATCTGAATCAGTGGTCTAAATTGCTTTGGACTGTTTTGAGTCCACAAGTAAAAGATGGCTTCTCTGTAGCCTGCCAAACAAGGTCAGTTCCTACTATCCCTTATGTTCCATCTCTGTGCAAGTGCAGACTTTGAAATGCTCAAGTCTCCAGAAAGGTGGTGAGGTTTCTTGAGAATTCCCACTTTTCTTCCAACACTTGGTGAATATCAGTCAGTTGCCAATGCAACTCTGTTTAAAAGCTGAGTCACTAATCAAATCAATGTCTCGGAAGAATGCATTTCCACATCGGCTTCTAGCGTACTCGCACCTCTAGATAACCAGTGTGATGTACTTGCCATTTCTAACTTACCATCGTTTAGGTATTCACAGAATAAATAAGAAGGTGATGTGCCACACCAGGAATATCATCATGGATTTGTGCTGTAATCCTTGCCCTTGCCAGCTCACAACTAGTCAGGAGTTGCTTGGGAGAGAACAACTGCTTGCACAGTAACATCTCGATATATGGATGTCAGTAAACATCTGGATTATCTTGTGGGTGCTGTGCAGTAAGATACACTATTACGACTGTAAGTAATACAAATTGGACACTTGCTAAAGTAACCCTCAAAATGCCAGCAGAAGCATGGAATTCCAAGCTTCTAACGCATCAACAAAATCAATCAATGGATGAATTTCCACATCCACTTTCAAAGTTTTTGGTCCATGTACTACCACACTGAAATAAAGCTTGTGATAAATCTCAAAACTATTCTTAATATGTTAAAGTAGGTTTGTATCAATGATATGAATCACAACGTACTAAAATAAACACTTAAAAACAAGTAATTTTCCTCTCTTTCTGATTTGTTTCTTGTGTTCTTTTAAACTTTTTTGATTTTATTTCTAGTACTTATTAACATTTTTGCCAGGTTCCTCTGTACATTTTGGAAATGAGGCCCAAAATTAAATAACCTGACAACTAACTGAGCTGATTACAGAGAGTGCCTTTTGTTTAGTCACTAACCACTGGAAGTCTGAACAATGTTGTGATCATATAGATATGACCATTTTAGATTAACAAACACAGGTGTTTCAGAGTTTTTGTTCGCAGAATAACTAAATGACGAGGAATAACTTGAGTAAATACTGCGATTGATTTTTGTGTGATGATTTATATGAACCTGGAGTTCACCATAAACATTCAACTAAATCCGAGCAAAGCCACAACCTGTGAGCAAGTATAGTTTCCGGGACCCTTGGTTCCAATGTGGAACCAAGTTGAGATGCTTGGATAACTCAAGCCAACCTCAAGGATTATGTGACAGCCAAGAGGGAGACGCGGTTGTCTGTCCTCCATGGGAAGGAAAGTGTAGTCAGAATCAGAAGCTTAGAGGAAAAATCAAACCAGCCAAACAAAAAAAAAATGGAGGAAATACTGCGGAATTGAAATCTAGAGCCCCTTTTCCAGAGAATTCATCAGTGACCTCAACTACTTGTTAACTGTCAATGACCCTGAAAAACTGCAATTGCAAAATTCCACTAATTATACTTTCCACATTGAACTCATGCTTGGCAAATGGAAAGCTTAGTATACTAAAGCAAGTACGACAATCTCATCAGGTATTTTCTGGTCAGTGCAATCCATGTATTAGGCACTCCCATTTGACAAAAGACCATGTTTCAATGTGCTCCATTCTAACACTTGCAAAACTACATTTAATTTTCTATGCAACAAAAATCAAGAGTTACAATGCAATTATTATTCATGCACCAGAAGGCTGATCTTCAAAATAAATCACTTAATGACACTCATACATGAAATCCAACACATTAATTGTATCAAAATTGATTTAATTATAAGTTTGATATGAACTAGTGTTGTATTCTTGATTTTGTGGGAGAAATGTGCATGCCGTACATATCTACTCTTGATCATTTGTGTTTTATTTCCTGTATTTATATTCAAAGGAAATGGAAGAAAATTCTATTTTTTTCCAGTCAAAATCCAACAATGTAGTTAGGAAACTTTGGGTTTAATTGAACTGAATCAGCCAAACAACTATATATACAACTCATACGTTTCAGCAAAGGGAAGCAGTATAATACTTTAATGCTATAACATTTCTCATGAAGTATAATGTACCCCATTAGCTGCACCTTTGGTGGTTCCTTCCTTGTAGAATTTCATTCTACTACCTGTATCTGACACAGCCAGCCGAAGGTCTGCTCAACACTGATGATGCCTGGGGCTGCAAGAGAAGATGAATGGTTTTCTGCACCGCATGGAAAAGCAACTGCATGTGTCAAACTAGAACAATGTTGAGTTTTAGCAAGTTTGGCACTAATTTCGGGGAAGGTAATTATTGGATTTAATCCTAAAATCAGAAGCAGAAGCTTTCATTTTAAAGAAGAACTTAATACCTCTGACTCGTACTTTTTCACAAATATTGCTTATGTTTTGTGCTAAGTATGAATCTGGTATGAATTGTACAACTGCAGGACTTTAATGTTTCACTTGTCTGATGCATAATACATCTAACAAAACAAAATGTAATTTTTAAATTGCCAAATATGAACACATCATTTTGTACATGGTTTATAGGAGCAAGATTTTACTATGACTATAAATCACATGTATTGTACACATTGAGTTGGCACAGTTAGCTACTTTCAATGTATGTATAGTTTGAACTAAGGCCAGGTGGATAAATAAGCACCACATGTACCAGAAAGCTTTAGAAAAATAAATTTCAGTTGTAGGAATGGCTACTGAACAGCAGATTTTGCTTCATTGTTTAAAACTCTGGAATGGTAATTAGTTACCATGAAAAACAAAATGTATGAAGAAGCAATTAAAGATTGTTTGTTTGTAAAAGTAAATGTATTGCGTTGTGTTGCATAATAAAATAGTAATTTTACTGTCAGTTCCCTACATATAAACATGTGAATTAAGAGCAGAAGTAGGCCATTTGATTCATCAAGCCTGCTCTGCCAGTCAGGATCATGGCTGATCTGCTTGTGTTTCGAATTCCATACTCTCACCTCCTGAATTTCTGTAATTTCCTCTGCTGAACAGGAATCTACCTGTCTCTTCCTCCGAGATATTCAATGAGCCCATTGCCTTCTGAGGTTGAGTTCCAAAGTTGCACAACCTTCCTAAAGAAAAGAAAATTTCCCCTCACCTCTGTCCTAAAAGTGACCTGATTCTAGACTTCCTTACAAGAAGAAACGTCCTTTTCACATTCACCATGTCAAGGCTATTCAGATTCTTTTAAACTTCCAATTTAATTTGTAGATGTACAACAGTGTGGATCACATTTCCTGGAGGTTACAATTGCTTTGTCAGGTCTGCATCATCCTACAATCCCACAAGAGTGACTGCAAAGAAGAAAGATGACTTCCATAAATGCCATGGAGGAGAAAAGCCAGATGCTGATTTGTGTAATCAAAAAACTTTGATTAATCTTTGATTTCCTGTTGAAAGACTACACAGTTTTATATCTGATGTAGGCTTTTACAGTTCCCAATCTTTGTTTCCTGCTAGCTCTGTGCTATGATGGGGATGGGATGCTCCTGATCTTGTACTTCAACTAGATCTTCATATCTGTCTTGCAAGAACTCAGCCACTGAATCCTAAGATTTGACTTCCTTAAAATCAGCAATAGTTGCTGAGTCTTTGAACCACCCACTGAAGGTCTTGTTGTGCAAATTATGGGAATGAATAACTAAAATTAATTTTTTGGCTTCTATATATTGCCACTGGCCTTAATGTTCACCTCTCTCTGCAGTGTAGGATCCTGTCAACTAAAATATATCTTGTGAATGTTTTATGCCAGTTATATTATTTTTGTGCTGCAGTTTTAATGATGCGGCGACTTCTTGGTTAACCGAACAGCAAAGGTACAAAATAAGTGAACAAAATCAAGGATGTGTAAAGCCATCTTGAAAAGGAAACCATATCAGCATAAGTACATTTGGTGCAATATCCCGCTTTTACTTTTTTCATAAAAGGGTAAGTTTTTTAAAAGTTGAAAGCAAAATTTAGTTGACCATTTTGCAGCTCTTTGTATCTTAATAATTGAAAAGAACTGACTCCCTCCTTAACATTTCAGCCATTAGAAGGTAGCGTTGTGTAGAAGTTAATAAATGATGCTCACTTGCATGTGTGACTCTCTGGCTTCAATGTCAATCGACAGTTATATATTGCTTCCTTCTTCCACTTCAGAATGTGATCATGCTGTGTGTATGTGGAACATGACTTTCCTATTCCTTTCTCAGCTCTGTCCTTTTATGTTTTGCTCCTCACATATCTTTCTGTCTGCTTTCTTGATGACCTGCTAGGTGTTTGCTTTTGAAATGAAGCCATTTCTTTCTTAATGCAGCATTAAACCCTTGTGCCACACCATTGATGAAACTAGACCGCTGGGAATTGGTACTTGCCCTTTTGACAACTAACTCAGACACTAAACTAGTTTTGCTATTTGCCTGATGCTGCACAATGTACCTCTTGAGAATGGATGGGATTAATTGCAGCTATATTAATTAATCCTGCCTTTTTAATTTACTTAATTTCTGGGGAACTCCACTCCTTAATGTCTGAAATTGCAGGAAATAAATGTTTCTGTTTTTAGAAATAAGTTCTTAATCTAGATTGGAAATTATCAGATTATATGGGAGATTCCTTGAAATGTTTATGTACTGTGACAGACAGCAACTATCTGAAACAAAACTGCATTGTCACTGCAAAGAAAGCTTAACTCATGCACAACAACAAAAGATCTCTGCTACCATGTCAATTGACTTTACCTGACAAAGGAGCAGCGCTTTGAAAGCTTGTGATTTCAAATAAACCTGTTGGACTATAACCTGGTGTCATGTGACTTCTGACCATGTCAACAGCAAAAAAAACATGAAATGGCTCATATTTCCTGTCTGCCAAGTTGTACACACGAAGAAATCCTAACTCTCAGACACCTTGGGGCCTTCTTCCAGAACTTAGGGAGCCCAATTCAATAATATATTAAATAGGTACATCCTTTACAGATATGAATATAGAATACCTCTTTAGGAGATTTTAAAACCAATGTTTCAAATTTGTTTCATGTAAAAATCATGCAGATAAAATGCATGTACCATTGAAGATTGATGCTTGACTACGAATATTCTTGTGGAACATGCATTAATTGACTCTGATACCTTTACATTCGTCTGGTAAATGACAGGAGAGAGCAAGCTGCATGTAGCAAGAATGAATTAGTTTTGCCTGCTTTGAATTATTCAATATCCAGCTTTAACCTATTATTCTTCCCTTCACGCATGTGATATAGGTTTTTGGGGATGTTCCTCTCTTTTCCTGGCTTTGGTGCAGGCGAAGGGACCAGACTGGTAAGAACTTCTGTGTTCCAGTTGTACTAAGAATGTTACCTTTTAACGCCTGCTGAACGTTGAGTAAGATCTGAGTCCAGGTGTTAAATTGGGTGTCAGGAACCAGCAGTAATATAGAGCAATGGATCAACAAGTTACAAATAACAAATTCGTGGAATTTACACAAACAAGTGCATGTTGAACAGTAACCTGTTCAGTAACATTAACCTGATAACTTTGTTTTCTAATCTATTGCTTTACCAAATTCACCTCCTCTAGAAGTTCATCCCAAAAGGCCTGCACCTTGCTGCAAGTCTGAACAATGTTTTATCCGGTGAGTGTATACTTAACACATCCACCCCAACAGATACACTTGTTTTTGTGTCTCTGTTACTTGTAAATATTGCTATTAGTATTCACCTGCTTCTTTCTTTTCAGCATGTGTCACAAGGGACTGCTGTTGTGGATGTAGCCATGCCAAGTTCTATTTTGTAGGTAGTAGACCCCACTCTTTTGCAGTGGACACCTTATTGTTGCTATGCCTTTGTTTTGTTGAAAGGAGCAAGACTAAATTTTGGCATTGGTAATTATTAGATTTGGTGAACAGGTAGATAAGGTAGTTCCTGTAAAGGATTGGCATTGGAGAGTGATAAGTGGCTTTAGTGGGAGAGTTGGGGTTGGTTACGGCAAAAAGACATTTGTGACCAGATTTTAGGTTTCATTTTAAATCTGCAAAATAAAGCTCTCACAATGTTGTCACCGTGTAAGACATTTCTCGTAGGCGAACTTTAGAACCTTGGAGGGTAGATAATATGTTTTTTTAAATTAACTATATGTATATGTGGGAAATTCCTATGAAGGGAACAAATAACAACACTTCTAATGCACTTAAAGTCATGCAAATCTTCCTTTAGGCCAAAATTTTACCACCTTAAGCAACCAAATAATTGATGAATATAAGCAATTAAATGAGTTAAACGTTGCCTTCCTGATAAATCTGTGTTTTAGATGTGATTAATATCATGACTAAGTGCCTATCTGTAAATCTGGTTCAGTATTTATTTCACCTTAATTTTTCGAGAGGCTAATTCCTTCATAAGCAGGTTCAAAAGGTATAAAACTGTTGGGGGCTGCTGCTTTCTCTGAATTATGGGTATTGAGAGGCTAACTTTATTTCTGCACTCATGAAATTATGTGCACCATATTTTGACTTTGTACTTTGTAGTCTAATTAGCAGCCAGGTAACAAGTTTTTGTGTATGACACGTTAGAACATCATTTCTTTGGCTGTTGTTTGAATGGACTTCGACATGATTGTCGTGGCAGCAAGTATGTTAGAGTTGTTTTTATGGTTTGACTTACCACTTCATGTGAATGGGCATATTTGCTGGTTTCAATTTGACTGGACGGTTAGATAGACAGTCAAATGATTGTGTGACTAACTTTTTGATAAAGTGTATAGGAGTTTAATTTTTTTTCACATCATGTATCCTGATTTGAGAAATCAGTTCATATTCGAATGTTCAGATGTTGCATTTCCAAAGGGAAGGTTTTCCATTCTGGGTGACATGGTGGCTCAGTGGTTGGCACTGCTACCTCACAGCCTCAGGGACCTGAGTTTGATTCCACCCTTGGGCGACTGTCTGTATGGAGTTTGCATGTTCTCCCCATGTCTGCGTGGGTTTCCTCCCACAGTCCAAAGATGGATAGTGAATTGGCCATGCTAAATTGCCCATAGTGTTCAGTGACATGCAGGCTAGGTGGATTAGCCATGGGAAGTACAGAATTACAAGGGTGACATAGAGAAGTGGGTCTGGGTGGAATGCTTGACGAAGGGTCAGTAGGACTCGTGGGCTGATTGGTCTGCTTCTACAGTGTAGGGATTCTATAATTATGTAATGTCTTCAACCACAGAATTCTCCTTTCTTGAATAGTGCCACAGAATTCTTTGCACAACCTGAGAACCTATGATCACTTTAGCTTAGTATTTCACTTTAAAGGCAGTACAACTGATTGGTGCAGTATCAGGTAACATTGCACTGCACCAATCATTCCATATTATGTTCTCACATCTAGATTGGGGACTTCACCCTTTGTAAAGCTTAATCTCATTACGCTGCAACAAAATAATAGGCCATAATGCACTGAACGGTGAAGATAATTATGTTCTTAAAGATGTCAAAAGTGGGACTTTAATCATATCCTTCAGAACTGGCATGTAAAAACATGAATGGAATGTTGGCCTGTATCTTTAGCAGGTTCGGTGTTAAAAATAATGATGTGTCAGTTGACAGAGCCTTAGTCACACCCCCATCTGGAGTACTGGGTTCACTTTTGAGTGACAAATTAAGGAAAGATATGATCACTTTAGAAAAGTATCACTAAGTTCATCAGCGTGATGATGAACAAAGCGATACTGGTAAACTAGGCAAAGCAAGGTTTTCCTTTTTTATTTCTGAAAAAGGATAGATCAGGGTACTTTCTAGATGGCATGAAGTTAAATACTGTGGATGTCTGAAGAGACTTTAGGGCTCAGGTGCATAGATGTTTAAAATGCTGCAGTCAGGTGCAGAAAATAATCAAGCAAGCTAATAGAATGTTGGCTTTTATATGTCTAGAACTGCAACATAAGGATTAAGAAGTTATGCTGCAGCTACACAAACCATGGTTCGACCCCATTTGGAGTTCTGTGTGCAGATCTGGGTACCACACTTTAGGAAGGATATATTGGCCTTGGAGAGAGTACAACATAGGTATAAAAGAACATACCTGCATTTAAGGGGTTAAGTTATGAGGAAAAACTACAAATTAGACCTGTTTTATCATAGTTTAATAGGTTAAGGGGTGATTATGATATTAACTGGGAAGGACAAGGTTGCTGAAGCTAAACTATTTCCACTGGTTGGAGATTCTAGAACTGTGGGACGTTGTCTAAACATTAGGGCAAGACCATTTAGGAGAGATGTTAAGAAGCACTTCAGCGCACAAAGGATGGTAGACATTTGGGACACTCTTCCAAAAGTGACACTTGATGCTAGATCAGTTGTTAATATTACATCTGAGAGGGATAAATTTTTGTTAAGCAAAAGCTATTAAGGGATATGGTCCAAAGGCAGATTAGGCCACAGATCAGCCACGACCTCATTGACTGTTGGAACAGGCTCAAAGGGCTGAATGGTCTACTTGTGTAACTATGATCCTAATGAAAAGAAGACTTTGAGCTATCGAAGTGTTTAAAATGATAGCTGTGCAAAAGATTGGCAGAGAGAAATTGTGGGAAATTCATAACAAGGGGACATAACAGGCTGTTCTGGGTTGCAAAGGGGTTTCATTTTTGAGTCCATTCGCAAGTCAATTCATACGCAACTCAGAACACAATGCAGGCCAGTATAAAGTTGCCGTTCATACGGATAGGAAATGTTTTTTAACATTACACCCTGTATAGGATTGTGTTCATAAGTCGGACAGTCCCCTATAATTTTAAAATTGACCGAAATCACAAAAGTCTTTTGTCATAAAAAGGTAGTGGAAAATTCAAACAATTTCCCTTTCCCCTCCCACTCCCCCACCCCCTGCCCCTAAAAGACTGGATGCTAGGCTAGATTGATAGATTTCAAGATGGGTTAATAAATTTTTGTTAAATAAGGCTATTATGGGAAATGGAACAAATGAATGTAAATTAAACAGTGTATGTCAGTCATAATGTAAACGAATAGTGGAGTAGGACACATAAGAATGAATGCTTCACTGTTGCACTGAATCAAGGTAGAATTGTGTCTTCTTGAGAACAGTTAAGTGTTGCCATTTGTCACTTATTGATCATAGCAATTGACTGCTAGTTTCCTTGCAATGTATGGGCAGCAAAGTGGTTTAATGGTTAGCTCTGCTGCCTCACAGCGCCAGGGACCCAGGTTCAATTCCACCTTCGGGTGACTCTCAGGTAGAGTTTGCATGTTCTCCCTGTGTCTGCGTGGGTTTCCTCTCACAGTCCAAAGATATGCATGTTAGGTAAATTGACCATGCTAAATTGCCCTTACTCTCTAGGGGTGTGAAGGCTATGTGGGTTGGTCATGGTAATGTGGGGTTCTGGGTGAGATGGTCTTCGGAGGGTTGGTGCAGACCTGATGGGCCGAATGGCCCCTTTCCACACTGTAGGGATTCTATGATAATGTTAATAGCAGTGGTTAGTAATAAATATCAATGGTTTATAACTAGTCCTTGGATTGAGTTTTCAAGGTGTGAGATATTTGGCACAAGTGCTCCAAGAATTTTGACTTTGTGGGCTTCAGGCATGTATAAACTAAATTTTAGACAACTACTTTTTAAAATTTACATTCCATTTAATTTCCATATATATAGGTATTAACCAGTATTGGTGTGCTCACTTAGAGTTTATCTACTAATGTGTCAAAAAACACTAAGAACATTCTTCCCAAATAAAATTCAGACTGAATAATAAATACAAGTGCAGATAGTTTCTGCTGTTCCAAGAGGCAGTGTATGTTCCATGAACTATAAGTTGGACTACTGATCTATGTCATCTAACTTTTAAATGTGCAATTCTGGCCTCCTTATTCTTAAAAGGAAATAGAAGGTTGGTGAGAGGTCAGAGCAGATTTATAAGGATAATACTATGAATGTGTGTGTTCATGTATCAGGAAAGGATTGACAAGCTGAGTTACTTTACTCTTGGAAAATGAAGCTGAGAGTGACCTCGTAGAGCTTATTAAAGTTATGAAAGGTTTCAGTAGAGTAGATACGTAGAGGATGTTTCCTGTTGTTAGGAAGAGCATACCTCAAGGAAAGAAGCTTCACCCAAAGCGTGGTAAGGATGTGGAACTTGCTATCACAGGGAATGGTTGAAATGAATATAAATGTATTTAAGAGCAAGCTGGGCACATTTTTGAGGGAGAAGAGAACAGATGCTGACAGTGGTAGATTTGGCTGGGAACAGGCACCGCCGTGTATTAGTTAGAACCAAATGGCCTGTTTCTGTGCTTTATATCCTATGTATTCCTATAT